AAATACTTGGGTTTGCAAAGTGAAGAAACACCTGGCAAATTCAGGGATATTAATTAGCACTTCATTTGCCATGCCGCTGTGAAATATGAAAGCGTGCTGATTTGCATGCTCTTAGGGCGTTGATGCACAAATGTGACATTGTGCTTTATGTATGCTTTACCTTTACAAATACAGCAAACTTTTGAAAAATGACATGAATTGCGCGAACGGTACCCTCTTTGCCAAAACAATAGTTTGCTTTGGAGCACATAAACCAGTCAAATATGGAGCAAAATAATTTTTTTACTCCTATTTTTTGAATACGTCTGCTCAAGGAATGCAAATGTACATATTTGCTGATAGTTTGCTCTAAATTTGTCAAATTAAGAGCAAGAACTGATTTGCTATGAATTTGCACAATTGCCACACATTTAAGCACAAAACTTTCTTCCGAACAAAGAATATTTTCTTAGCTAGTGTGCAAAGGAAGGCAAATGCAATGCAAAATTCTAGGGAGTGTTTGTTTCCTGTAGCTGCTTATTGCATAAAGTAAAGTACACCATGTAGCAGCTAATTATAGAAATACTATCGGTAAATCCATGAATTACAATTTTCTTTATTTGGTTGATTAACCGAAAAAAAAAATACAGCTAATGAATATGAAGATTCTTCCCCAAATAAGCGTAATTAGTTTCTGTCCAGTGATGCATTCCACAGCAAAAAGATATGGTATCTAGACTGCACGAATGTATAAAAGTCCTAGTCCACTACATAAATATATACATGGGCCTTGAGATTCTACGGTTATATATAGTATACATAGAACTTCTGTTGATTGAGTGATACGTTATTAACACATATTCAGATAAACTCCATGCAGTGTGAGTGACCATCAGTTCTTTTCTTCTCTGTTAGATCACAGAAGACCTACAACGGAAAAAGTGTTTAAATTTTTTGTTGGAATATAAATCGATTTTACTGATTCAGCGTGTTCAGTGATCTGCTGAACAGAACTTCAAGAGATTAACTGCATTAACTGATTTAAACATCTTTCACTATATGTGGGTATATTTTGAACCGGCGCCTCAACCAAGATATTCCGATTATTTATTTAAAATCAGTTGTCTTCATTTGGTTTACAACCATCCTCATTCAAACCTCAATACTGGCATTTGTCTAAAGCAAACATCACTTGAAGCTAACAATATATCTTTACCTGTTCCAGGTTAGCTAGAGTTTTTCAAAAGATGGTCTCCAGGCTAGGACCGTAAAATGCCACCAACAAACCTTCCAATAGAATTAACACCAGTAGGATGAACAGAAACAGCAAAATGCGCCAAACACGAATAGAAACTTTCCGATTCAAAAAGCCGCACGTACATTGACCCCTCTTCTTCGTGTAGTATTTCTGCTTTGTCAAATCATAGACTTCACTCACAGTCATAGAGGTTGTATTGTCAAACGCTTGCATGGTATGAGACATTTTGGTAAACGTTTTGGCTTGATCGCTAATCGAAATCAAACAGAGTCCTCTTGCCGTTGAAACGTTTAGGTAACCAAGGAATGTAGACTGCTGAAATGTGACTCTCACAAAAGTGACTATCTCAAAAGTCGACCTTTTCGCTTTTAACCAGCGCAGTCGCGCCTTTATGACGGAATGTTATTACGTTGGTGGACAGCAACACTTTAATCCGACCGGATTTTACAAGTGTTATTTTTATCTCTTTTTTGACCCAAGACTAAATTGTATTCACTACAAGATTCCAATCCATTAAACTCTTCAAGCTTTCTCATGCAAGCTTAAGTTGATTTTTTATCCAATGTTCTTAGAATTCTTATCTTTTTCTGGCTTGCGTGCTCCCAACTACTATTATTTATTGCTACAACACGAAAACAAAACTCAATTAAGCTCTTGTCAACGACAAACAAAAGTGTGTGTACACTAAAAAATGTAAAACACGTAAAAAAGGATCAATTTCTTTGTTTATATATCTGGGGAATGTTGTTTCCAAAAGCACGTCATCTTCTTGATATTTACCACTTGAAGCGCGACCTCGATGCCTGAGT